GATTAATCTTCATAACACTATCAAAGAAACCAGGTGTGAACTTCATCGAACAGTGATCTCGATTAGTCACATTACTAAAGTAATAATTAGGAATCTAATGAATAGATTACATAGTAGAATTAGACTAAGAATAATGTGGCTATATTTTTTTTCAAGATAGTGAACATGAGTTACGGTGTAGTAATGGATAGCGGCTCGGATTGAGGAATCGGAAAGCCGTTCGAATTGAAGTCGAATCCATTACATTCACTTACGTGCAAAGGAAAAGTATAAATCCTCTTCTTCTCTCCCTAGTTATGGGTAATAGGAGGACAAACCAGGCTCTTTAGCCTTGGATGGCAATTGGTCTACCGCAGAAAGAAATGGCAACGTACTGCGGGGAAAAAATCAGCCTTGTCAGTCATGTATTGGAAATATGTGCCATATATAACTGAACATAAGATGTCATTTACGTGATCAGAATGCTGTCAGGACTAGCAATAGAAATACAGATATATAACTATATTTCAGAACTTACACAAAGATATTCAATAAAATACGACATGGAGAACTTCTTAAAATGATAGAAAAGTTTCAACTAAATGGGAAAATAATCTGTACTGGGAACAAAGAGCCTGCATATGAAAAGAGAATGATTTAAGTTTGCCGTGAATTAACTTCATAATCGAATAATGAACTTTACCACTTAAATGTCGTCGTCATCCATGGCGATATTTTCCGCCGCCAGACTCTAGCTTTGAAGCTCGCAGTCCCATTGATCCGTCTCTCCAAGCAGTACCTCTCCCTCGGGAGGTGACTTGGGGTTAATCTCGTGCTTTGTGACATATTTGTTTGGTTGGACGTACAGATATCTCCTGATTTTCTGTCGGTATGCTTAGATCATCTAGACACCCACACTAATGATTCATGTGCTCGACCACCAGGGGTGCGGCGCTCCCTAGGTAGTACCTATCCTTCGAAAGAGGGTTAGGGCTAATCTTAGCACGTTGGGCATCCACTGGAGAGCGCTAAACTACTTTTGGTACCATGTACGCGTGGGACATCCATTTTAAACTCGGCCCCTGAGCCACATTCTGTTCCAGTGGGCTTCAGATAAACCCTGAATTTTACCGACAGGTAGAGTATCTACCACAACGTAGACTAAGACTATTTCGCTCGTATACTTAGTTCGGTAATCACTGGGTGCGCCTTACTTATAGCCTTGTGTCAGACTAAACTAACTTTAGTAAATACCTACAGATAATCATGATGGGGCGCCTACCCTGTCACAATGTTTAGCAAACTCGTATCGCAGGCTAATTCATTGATGTAGTTCCAATTATCTGATGATTAAGCTAAGTTTAGTTAATATTTGGTGTGTATGGAATAATTTCAATCTAATCTAGCAAATATTATCACTGTGTTAAAGATGCCTTCCAAAAGAAGAAATTCAAAAATGAATTATTTTCAATTCCACAGTTCTTTTCTCACTGACTGAACATCGCAAACTTTTCATTATTCTATCGCTATTTCGATGGCCCAGGGGCTACATTCTTTAGTTCCACCCGTTTAGACCTAGATCCCACTATGCCAGCTACAAATCATCATCATTAGTATTGCGTTGATAAAAAGAAATTTCCACTCGAACAGCTTCTTACCGAGAACTGATACTTTGTGAAACAGACCTTTGCAAGGCTGCTTCCTCGATCACTACAATCTTAACCTGTTCAAGTCTAGGGTCAACCGTTATCTATCCTACATATCTTCATAATCTGCATTTACTTTCTTCTTTTACGCCCATGCAACAATCTCATTCAGTATCCCTCTACTTTGACTGACTCTTGGGCTTTGTTTTGAGTAAACATTTAGCAAAAAAAAAAGTACAAATCTCTGTCCGATTTAAAACATGGTTTTTCTTCAACTTTTCGATGTTGTTTGAAATACAGTAAACAGTCAATCAAGAACTAGTGTCAGCTTGGTGGTCTGAATGGGAGTCTTAAATCTAAACAATATATAGGACTTTATTTATTTTATTTCTTGCTTTTAGTAGTAGTAGTAGAAGAAGAAGAAGAAGAAGAAGAAAAACTGAAGAAGAGAACTGCTGATTGCAAAATCCATTATAAGAGGACGGTGTTTAAATGTGAGGAAAGAAGCAAAAGAGTTTAGGTGAACAGTACAAAAGAGAAGTAAAAAGAACAAAAATAGGCATTAAAAAAACGAAAAAAATGTTAAAGATATGGTGTGAATCTAAGAAGCATGAAGAGGCAATAGGTTAGCATAAGGGATCAGCAGGGGAAAGAATAAACTTTAAAATAAATGTGAGGATGTGTTGATAAACAACACGTCCATCACAACCGGCAGCTTCCAAAAAAAAAAAAGAAAAAAAAAAGCATTATGTAACTCTGTGTGTCAACACAGATTGACATAAGGGTAAGGAATTCCAAACAGATACGACGTCCAAGAAAAGTCACCTGAAAAAAGAAAAGAGAAACACTTGTGACCTTTAGTTTACCGACCCTGGATTGAATTTCGAAAGACGATGATGCAGACAAGGTGTTTTAGTCAGATTGTAATCAGTTTAGACAGAGTTATTTTTGTGTGCCGTTTAACCATCGAAATATCTAAGTTGTTGCTTACACTGCATTCATTATCATTATTACGTTTGTTTGTTTGTTTGTTTTTTTTTTGGCATCATTACCCAATTCAGGAGCATAGTAAGAAAACCAGAATAAAGATCAGACAATAAAGTACAATTACTGCATTCACTGACTCATCACTTGAATCACTATCCCATTAACAGCCAAAGTAAAAAGAAACAGAACACATTCTTTAGCGATATCTCAACAGTTGCACCGAAAGAGTTTTAAAAAAAGCAAGCAAATAGAGAACTGTACATCAGAAGTGAGAAGGAAGTCAGTTATGTTCCATGCGTGGAACACGCTTGGGCAATCAGGTATCTTTCGATAAGTGACTGACGAGGCAGATTTTTTTCCCACAGTAGGTTGTCATTTCTTTATGGGGTAGAGTAGTTGCCATCCAATGCTATAGAACCCGGTCTGTTCTACTATTTAAGCATGGCTGGGGGAAGACGAAGAGGATTCATACCTTTCCTAAGAGTATTAGCACGTAAGTGAATGTAATGGATTCAACTGGAGTTCGAACTCGGCTCTCCAATTCCTCAATCCGAGCCGTTATCCATTCCTCCACCGTGCCGGTGGAAGTTGAAAAGGTAAATAGAAGTGAAAGAAAGAGCAAATCACTAAAGATTAAAAACGACAAAAGTAATGTCCCTTGATTGATGGTTTCTTTATATTTTTTCTGCTTCTATTCACGATACTCTCAATTTCTTCCCTCCCTTTTTAATCCCGTTTACCTACTCTTTTACTCGATTTCATGAATTTAAACGTCGTATTAGATTGGGAGATCAGAACTCACCATTTTACTGTTGAAATAGCTAGATGTGAGTTCTATTCTAATTGTTTCTTCTCCCGCACTTCTTGACAGTGGACCACTCTTCCGGTTTCCTACTTTCCCGTCAACTACGATCTTCAAAAATTTAAATATAAGACCAATCACCAGCTTCTATCTTTCTGAATCCTGTTTTTCGTTGTCCTTTCTCTTCATTAATGTTTTCTCATTTCTTTCACTCTCAATAACCTCTTGCAACTTAGTGGCTTTATTGATATGCTTGTAGTGAAATGATTAAAACAAATCTCTTCCTTACATCAAATACTATCACTAACTCTATCTCATATTCTCTTATTACTCCTGCTCTTCTCTCCTCCTCTTCCTATTATTGTTTCTCTAAACTTGAATTAGTTTGGCACCAAGCCAAATGGGATGGGGGGGGGTAAAGTTTATGAAGATTATGTTGTGCCAACTCTGTAAGTGGTTTAAATCATTATTCGAAACTTTTTTTTTCTTTTGTATCCGGGCCCGAACTTCGACCACACGCATTATATGCAAATACATAGTCTTCCTTTCGTTTTATCTTTTTTCAAAAACGAAGAAAATAATAATTTTAGAAAGTGTAAGTTGTTTTTCTGATTTAAAAGGGAAAAGTATCATTGTGGTTTTGGTCATTTTTTTTTTAATTTTCTTTCTGCCCTTTTTTCAACAACTTCCTACCTATTTGTTTTTAATTTTATACCATTCATGAGAGGAACTAGAAAGATAGAAAACACACACACACATATGTGTGTGTGTGTGTGTGTGTGTGTGTGTGTGTGTGTGTGTGTGTGTGTGTGTGTGTGTTACAGTGGTTCAGCAAGTTGTCTGAAACCCTACCTTGTTGAGTTTATATTATTGTAGCATTTTATACAAGAAAAATCAATAGCAGAAAACTCTTTTTCAATTTGTTAATACATGAAATATTCATAATTAGGAGGAAATAAAAAAAATGATGTCTCTGGTTATACAGTTTGCTTAGCAAACGACGCCCAACAATGTTAAATTTATTTTACATACATACACACATAATTTTTACATGGGGTGGATTTTTTGAGGTGATGAATTACTTCAAAGAATTAGATTAGAAGTTTTGAATTTTTATAATGTTGGCTGCTTCTTTTATATTGCAACGGCTTACAGAATGTTGAGTCGTTCTTTGCATTTAGTCCTATATAATATTTTGGTATATATAAGGTCGGAACAATAGTTTATAACTTTCTTTAAGTAAATTTCAAAGACAATATTTAGATATTGTCGTTTCGTCACACTACCATACACCATCTTTAATGCAACTTCATAGATCCATCCTCTGAGAATTAAACATCTTTCTAGATGATGAACTAGTCTAAATGAATTTTATGGGCTTCCAGAGAACTGAAGTTCCACCCTTTTAAGAGAATTTATTAGGGATCGAAATAAGTGGTAATCTGAATTTTCAAGGTCATGTGAGTACGGCGAATACCGTAGGACATCCCAATCAATTCGCATCAATTTCTGTTGGATCAGCAAAGAGACATGTGTCGTAGCATTGTTCTGATGTAAGAGGACACCCTGAATTCAACGTTGGATTTTTCCCGTACGATCACCGAAGTTAAGCAACGTCGAGCTTAGTCAGTACCCAGATAGGTGACCGCTTGGGAATACCAGATG